CCGAACTGAACCTGTCATGTAGACAATCCCCGCAGTCGATGTCAAGATACCATGCGGCTTCCTCTTATACTGTTTTCAATGGTGAAGGCGTGAAATTTGTTTTCGCGTACTCAGTAGCATTGATGCTTGAGGCGATACCAGTGCAAAATCATTGTATGCAGGTCAGATCATCAGAAAGGGAAGGGGATGCACGTGACGCAAGCTGCGAAACTAAACCAGGTACCTCTTTGTGGCTCTTGAAGCATGCAACTTTTCTAATTTACCACAATCGACAAATGAGTTTATTATGAATGAGTAGACAGATTTCGGTATGATTCAAATTGGTTCTTCGCAATTAGATTCCAAGCCGCGTAGGTAAGCTGCCAATCCGGAAAAGTACCGGACGGGCGTTTCGCTCTATTGGAGCTCGTCAGGGTTGCGCATCCATCTGTCCCCATGACTGCTAGAGGCTAACGCCAACTAGCCAACAGCTTATGCCTCCGAGGCACGGGGGACGACAGCCGACCAATACGAATAGAAACCTAACTGCGATGTAGCCCGACCCATCCTCCACTGCCGTGCAGGTTATTGCCCTTGCAGAGGACAGTGATTGACCGTCAAGGTCAGGTCTTCAATTGCCAGGGCCGTGAATCCACACAGCAATTTTGAATACGGGTAGGGCTCAGATTTTTGATTACCAGTTTATTGTTGGGAGGGATAAAGAAATATAATTGATCAATGCATTGGAACTAACTCGAATAGATTATTCCCTCCAAATTACCACGGCAGTCGCAATAACATTAGGCTGCATCACCCATATATTTTATTTGTTACCAACGGTGACCGCGTGATTGATGGACCCGTTACCGTTGGAAGAAAAATTTCTATTAAATATTCAGACCTATCCGGTATATGTACCATCTAATCGCCACAATGTAACCTATAAGGCTAAGCAGAATAAATGAAACGAATTATTTAAACAGTATCTGCTCCACTGATTTCTTCTAATAAAAACAGAGCTTGTTCGCATAGTTAAATAGGGCAGCGTAGTAGAAAGAACCACTTCAACCTAACCCACTATTGTCACAGCAAACAACAAAGCCGCGCTGCGAAACCTACCGTAAACTTATCCCAGTATTGGGGACGGTTTAACGGCACCAATGTAATGATGGCCACGTTAAAGAGTGGAATACCAGCGGCTAGTTTCGGAACAGCAGTTGACCTCAGCATCACCAACGCAGTTTTTGAGAAAGAATCCCTAGATATATTCAACAGACGAAGTAAGCTCTGCAATTCACTGCCTATCAATACCCGGCCTCAATCATGATCACATACATACACACGCCTAATTAAGCGAATTTCTTTCGGCGTCAGGAACAAAGGTTTATTAGACAAACATTGTGACAAATTGTAGACCACAACTCCATATCCGTTGCTCCGCTTCACTCGATATAACAGCAAAACCCGTCTATACAAAAGTAGCCTCCCTGCCAAACTATTAACCCGGTCTTCCGCCAAACATTTTTGTTCTACATAGATCAACTTGCATAAAGTCACCGACCACATACCCAGCCTACTCCTCTTCCTGGGGAACAGTGGTCTAAAAGCTGCCACTACCTCTAGCCACACGAGACCAGCTAGTTGTAAACTAAGTTTTTCTCAACGAAATACTACAGGTGCCTTAGGCGTTTTGGTGCGCACGAACTTTTGGGAGGAGGACGTAAGGAAATTAGTCGGCGGTTTAAAATTTCATTTGAGATGCGATTGCCGTTGCGGCAAACCAACACCTATCAGACACCTAATCCAGTATCAACTAGGTGAACATATACCTCCACACCAGAGCTGTTCTGTCTATATCGATCAAATTTGTCTTGTGTGATTCAAATGGCGACCAACTGGTTGGGATATGATTATCTTCCACACCGAGTCAACAAATTTTAGGTTGGAAACCTTTTGGGCCTTCGGTGCGCTGGGTATCTTTCCTTTACCTATGTTATTGACAACTTGACTGAGACGTTAAACCATAGATTACATTGTGTCTCTGCTTGAGAAAGAGTCTGATTTAAAAGACCGATTTAAAATGAGATAACCGATCCTCTCCCTGCTGAGGGCATTTTTAAATACCAAGAGGCATTTTATACTCCGGTCTTTCGTGTCGCAACTGTTTCCTTGCCCCCAAAAAAGGATATATTCCTTGTGTTAGGGGAATTTGTTGTGCTTTGGAGAAGCGTCTTTACAGCTGGACTCAGCCAGACAGATAACACACATCCAGTAAAACGCTTTCCGTGTTTACAATCACCAATCCTTTTGAGACCGTTTTAAATTTGTTCGCAGCGAGTCTGATCAAGCTCCTACTCATTTAATTTGTGACTCCGTGTGCCAGACGAGTCCACTGATGCGTCTGCGTTCTTCTTGAGTCTCGAACTGTGCTGACTTTTCTTGCCTGTACCTCCCAGGCTTTGTGATTTGGAATAGTTTGTGAACCCTCATCTGCTTCAACACATCCCATTGTCTAATGGTAACCCGCGAATACATTGCACACATAAACGAGCGGATAGCTGAGGTCCGTGCAACATGCCCTCAGCTACCGCGTGTGTATCGCCTAATATGCGTACGCCTAACTTTAAAGTAACCCATTTTTGCTACCCGAAACCTCCATTGATCTGTGCCTTACATGGGTCTAGGTTACACAGCCACACTAGCACATTTTCCACATGCTATTGACTGATGTCGTTTGGTCAGTTAATGCGTTCTGGATGTAATTTCTATGCTTGTTGCTTTAAATTTTTGGCTGCAGTGGGAAGCTTTTGCCTAACGAACGAATTAGGATTTCATCGGGATGTTATCAATTGAGAAATATTATTCTCTGTTGCATATAGGTAAAGTTCCAGTAGCAAATATCCGCATGTATCCCATTTTACAAGGTCCAATCTGCACATGTAGTCTAAAAACTAGTGATAAGTAAACGCCTGTCAAAGAACAAAGGTGAATTTTTCCATTTGCTTCCAACCTTAAACTGTCAACCTGATAATCAGTGCGTAGTGTGCACCAGAGTCATTGCGTTATTTATCTTGGCAACAAAGTACTACAGCTAAACGTCAACAAAGCAAACCGTCTGGACGGACTATCCCTCCTTGTCCTCAAAGTGTGTGCCGATTACTTGGTCCAGCCTCTTGCTGACCTATATACGTTGCGCATGAAAATGTGTAATATTGCTAACTGCTGGAGAAGTACCAGAATTACACTGGTGTCAAAGAAAGGCTCAGATAAATACCGACCAATTGCCTGCATCACGGTAAACTGGAAGATACTCGAGATTATTCTTGAAAATTTGTTGAATCAGACTCATTCAGATGATTCCCTACAGTTTGCTTAGCGTAGTTTGTCAACTCAAGGCGCATTAGCGTATCTTGTACATTCAGTGCTGTCATCAATAGACAACAAGTTCAAGCCGTACTTATATGTTTTTCCAATTACAGCAATGCTTTGGGCAGTGCAAAACATGAGCTGCTTTTGAAAGACCTACACGATTCCGGAATTTGGCTCTCTACTGTCCACCATATGAGAGACTACTTCACTAAAAGTGCGCATTTTATTCAACTTTGGGGTAAAACCGCTTCGCCGCACACCATTGACACTGGAGTTCTTTAAGATGTCATAATATCTCCGTACCACTTTTCCACCTAGGTCAAGATTTTACCTGCCCCTGCCGATACAGTATTGCTGAAGTATGCAGACGACGTATGCAAGGGTTTACAACAACAGACAGCAGCCACATAAACTACATTACAAACCTTGTTGGACAGCCTTGCATTATGATGGTCCAGCGTTCATTAGTTTCGTTGAATGCAGCAAAATAAACTAACTTCATATTATCCAAACATAATGGCCATTGTTATCAGGAACTTCTCGTGGAATAATCCGAAGTTCACATAGATAACGAGAATTTTCATTCCAATGTCACTGAAGTATTAGGTGTAACACACATACCTGAGCTTTCCTGGTCACTCCATGTTAATGATATTATTACAAAGATGGAACAATGAAACAATGGACGTGGAGGCTTTCGTTCTACGTCCTTCGTTTGCGATCCTCCTCTGTCCTCCTCGACGAAATGCTGAGATTTATCACCTCATAACTTACCCTTTGGGACCTATTGCTACACTGTGATATTTTCTGTTTTCCTAAGAAAGTATTTCAAAATCCTAGGTAGGTCACTGACGCTATTATCTCAGTGTAATAGAATTCCCAAGCGGACCATTGTTGAGATCTTTGTGTCCACTCACACTAGGCTTATTTTGAGAATAATTACTGATACAACTCATACTCTTCCTGGTGCACGGTCTGGGTGTGTAACGACATCCTCAAACAGAAGGTATGTATCAATTTTACCCACACACTGGCTTACCAATCATCCGTAATTCCATACCTGTCATATTTTTGTGCGACCAGACATAAGTTGTCCTGGAGCTTAAAAGCAACTTTTCATCGTAACTACGCCGCTGGTTATGCCATCTAATTGTGTATTTACTGCTCTATATTTATTACTATGCTGAAAGTGTGTGTTAAAAAGCTGCATATTTACACTTTTTTGAATTAAATTGAAAAATGAAAATGATTTTCTACTTGAATTGTGTTATTTTGCAAACAAAACAGAAAGACGCAGTACACCGACACAAATGACCCGGAGGAGAAGGCTGACAAGAATTAACACAATCACGAAAAGAAAGAAGCAACCGTTGCTAACAGATCGGGGGGTAATTATGGCAGAATATTACGGAGTCGTAGCCGAATTTTGACGGTTGCTTGTCAAACACAATATATACTACATAGATGGTCCTGAATCTCCTGACATAAAAGTTTATGCTTTGCACTCATTCACTAAAGTGTTTAAAACATGTTTTAACCATAGTACACAAGATATAACTAGAATAAGCACCAGAAGACTTGTTGATCATTTTATCAGCGTAAAAGCGTTTTCCCCACCAATTCTGTTTCAAATCTTTTGGTTTTCTCTCCAGGTCACAAGCCCCAAGCAACATTATTGTTACTTGGTTCCTGCATTCTGAGCATTATGTGCTTTGGATAACAACACGGCGAATTTGTGAAACCAATGGTTGAATCAGCGCTGACAATTTCTGCATTCTGTTTGTACCGTATCATTCTCTCGTGCAAACGTGCGACAAACGTTAGAGTCTTGCATGAATGGACATCTAGTGTAGTCACTTTCTTAATGATGACAGTCCTCCTAAAACCTGGCGAAAGATTGCTACTTTTATCTATTAAACTTCAACAGTTATTCCGAATTTCTGAAAAGATTTGAAAATATTAATACACGTGGTTACTTTACAAACAACTAGATTATTTCTCCAATTCTGTGATGATATTCTTTTCGTTCAGGATTTGCGTTCATCCCGCTTGTTGAACATACTTTCGAATACGCGGCTATGTAATTCACAATCATTGCAATATTCTTCCGCTCGGCGTTTCAATTTCCCCGTGTACAACTGGTGCACCTAGCCAGAATAGACCGCTGGAGCAGCAACACAAGATAGATAAATCGGAGGGCGCTGGATGAGCATCTTTTAATCACCTTGTAAGAGATCCATCGAAGGAAGCCAACGAAGACAGTACGGAATTTTGAAAAATGAATTTGTGCCGGGGAAGAATAAAGAAGTACGGTTTAGAGAACACAACGATGCAAATAGAAGAATCTATTATTGACCATTCACCGTTTGAAAGTATAACGAGGACACATGCGGAAGGCTACAGTAACCCCTCTGTTAGTAGGCGGCGTCCTCAACGACTATAGTGGCCAAAAGCGCATCAGCCTGTGTACCTGTAAAAGAGGTCGAACAAGGCCCATTAGGCTCAGGCTGTTCCATGAGTTGTAACACGATAGCGGGAAAGTTAAACTTTAACTAAGTGCTGCAATCTTACCTCATGAACCTTAATCGTTTACTGACAACATGGATAAACACGTATGATTTCTCCGGCCTGATGTTCCAAGCTCTTAAGCAGGTCGTAATAGAAACTTAGAGATGCAACGCAAATAAATATCTCCTAGGCAAGTGGATACACATTTCAACCACCTGGTAAGAAGCTGATTTAAAAAGGCAGCAAAATAAGTATGATAAATATTGCCGGAGAGAAATACCGGCAGAAGGAAGCGACAACAGGATGAAAGGAAACTTCACCAAACTCTCATGTTTAAATCTGTTAGAATGCCCGCGGACCGGCTACGCCACCTGTGCATTTTGTTTTATTTCACAGCCAGTACGGACAGCAAGACGTGGTTTGGAACAAGTCGTGCAATTTTCTGTTTTCTAGTTTCTGATTTACATGATTAAAGCGTTGCTAATATGAATATTCAATAATGGCCTCAGGGTAAGATGCTGAAACACGTTGTAGCATTTGTAGAATTCCAATCCTAACTCACGGAAGTTGATTGAAAATTGCACAAATATATTTGGAGTTCGTTCCAACAAATGCAATGGTAGATTTTAGTGAGGCACCCTTCAGCATGAAACCATTGGGAATACAAGCAAAGTAAGTTGCTATAGAAGGTACAGAATATATTATCTTGACTGTAATTTACATCGGGGGAACGTCAAATATGCCATAGAACAGTCAGGCACACGGCACCAATAAAACTTTGCTAAAAGACGCAGTAGGCATTTGTGTTTTATTTCCTAGTTAAGACGAGTAAATATATAGTGATGCAAGGGTTGACATAATTACTGGTCCATGTGTGAGTACAAAGCTAGAGACCTTCGATGGATTTCTGTAAAGTAGGTTTGCTATGTGTTCCGTAGATATCTATCGGGAAAGTATTGGAAATCCCGCATTGGCTTGAGAAATGATATTTAGATGTAGATGGAACAAATTTATCCAACTTGGTTTCTCCTTGAAGCCCACTTGAATCGCATCTTATACACGTAACCGCAAACACACTAATGAAATCGGGATTTTAGCGGCTCAAACCGGGATTCAAATGCACTCACGCTAAGAAGTCCCAATCCAAGCTCCTGCGTAATTGAACAACCAGAAATCAACAAAAATGCCGCATAGTTGCCCCAAAATCGTTTAAAAAACACCGCCAATCCGTTTGAACAACAAGAAAGGGATCAAACCATCTCACCTAATTTTACCTTAACCTACACCAATGGTGTTGCAATTACCATAGCTGCAGCAACCAGACAGTTACTCAGTGTATCCCAAACCCAGACAATCTCAGTCCATCCCAAAGATAGTTGGGTTCTCATGTTCCTCACGCGTTTTATAAAGATGACAAAAAATAATTTTATAGCTTATTCTGCCATAATCTGTACAACTGGTTTTCTAATTGTCCCTACATTAACTACCTATCTCGCGGAACCCGGCATTACGCGGTCTACGGGCGGTAAAATTTACTGATCTGCTGCAGTTATGGAGCAAAAATTATCCTTACCTAGTCTAAGAAACATATTTGACTAATCGAAGTGTTATCTTACTGCGAAAAGTTCTTGATTACCCGATCCACCGGGTTCAGTACCGTAGCACCAATTGTCACCGCAGTAACCTGGATTAACTCACTCAATTTCGATACTCGTGCAAATTTGTTCTTTGCTGAATATTTGGTTTTATACCTGTTTCACGAATAATATATCATAAGATCAAACTTATGTCATTTATGAATGAATTTAATCTGGCAAGATACTAGTGCTAGTAAGTCTATACTTATTCCTAGAAATGCGTGCCTCTAAAGTTTTGAGAATGAAATTATTTATCCATTGAAATTATACTAGCTGGCGTTCATAACTGACATGACATATTGAATAATAACAGGCCTTCTTCGCCCTTATTGAATCTGTGACGGCCTACTTTAGTCCATTCCTTAGCATGACAAAGCAATTTAGTTAACACAAGCTTGCTATAACTAACAGACCATAACGAAATTGTATAATTCTATAATCATAGAAGCAATCATTTCAGATACCTTAATTGGCTACCAAGAAAGTTAGGGTCAAATTGCTGCCGAGCTGCACGCTTTTCACCAACATCCATAACATATACTACGAACATGCTGATGGGTTGGTATGCCAAACCACTGCTTTGTGGTTCCAGCTGAGTGGTTTGGGTTTACCCCGTTCCAGGATAATGCTAGGCAGCATTGTTCCAGAAGGTGGCGGGTTTTCAATTTGCAAAGCCTTCTCCCTGTAAATAACCACCTAGATAATGTTAATGACATGGGATGAAGAGCACGTGACTTCCCATTACATAGTCAAGGTCTCTTGCTTCACTCAGGTGGTGCATTGTATTCCAGCTGCCAGCCGGTGTTACTCCGGCGAACATTGGGTCCCTCTTTGGTAAATGACTCAACGAAAGGTGTATGAACAGAGTTATGGGTAACCACCTCAAAATTGAGGCGATTTCCTGTATTCGCCACGCCGTATTACGAGTGGGCCATTAGCCATATGCTTGGTGTGGTGTTCCCTAAAACAAAGAACCACTTAAGTATAGGCAACCAGGTATTATCACCACCACTTACAAAATCTTGGACCATTCTTTTCCTATAGCGCGCTTAAATGTGCGTGCTTCCGCTTCACACGCACATTCACATGCTACCCGTTGTAACGGACAAATCAACTTGATCAACATATCTTAAGCTTTTCCATCATCATCATTATCATACCACACGTCAGCTAGATGTGAGAACCTCGTCAGCTACTGTGCCGCAATACATAAAGGAAAAGGAAAATAAATACAAATGTTGCATGCCGGCGGAGCTACCAGCAACGGATAGCAAACGCTCCGGTAAGCTACCAGCCGGCTACTAGGCAAAAATAAAATTTATTATGTTTTATGCTACGAAATGAGATTGTAGGTGAAGAGGAGGCTAAAAGGGATGGGGAGGGACAAAGAAACTCAAAACACGAACGCCACTGAGGTCGGCTCCTTGCCATGTCAGCAAGTGTATCCAGCCAAACGTGTTCACCGTCTTTCGGAGCCCAACCAGGGAGCGGTGACGCTGCAACCGAGGCCAGATCAGAAGTGAGGGCCTTCATTCCTCTCAACCAAGTCATCGCATGGCCACCCCTCCTATACTTCCATCCACATCCCCGGTGAGCAAACAACGCACGTCGTGCAAGTCGGTGGGCTGGCATGCTCAACATGTGGCACAGCCATCGGAGCCTGGTGCGTGAAATGACGGTGCTGAGCAGTTGGGTTCCTTTTGCTCTGCCGTAAACAAGGCGTCAAACACGAATGTTGCTCACGCGGTGTTTCCAACAGATGTGAGCCAAACTGCGAAGGCACCGATGGTAGAACGTAACTAGCCTCTTCATGTCAGCCGATATTAGGGACCATGTTTAGCAACCGTACAGTAGGGTCTAACGTACCGCTGCATTGTACATTCTACCCTTCAGAGCGAGAGTAATGTCGTGCCGCTGCCATAAGTGGCGAAGGTTAGCAAATGCACTTCGAGCTTTTGTTATGCGGTTCACGATCTTGTCTTCGATCGCAAAGGCATGGACACAACTTCCCAGGTAGTTGAATTTCGTTACGAATTCTAGGTGTTCCACACCAAGGGTCAGCGCAGGAGGCGATCCCTACCAATCTTGGAGGAACACTTTGCACTTCGCTGGTGCAAAGCAAAGCCCGAAGAGGCTGACAGCCAGGGCTAATAAGTCCTGTCCGGCTTGGCACGTCCGGGAGCTGTCACAGAAGAGAGCAATGTCGTCTGCATAATCCAAGTCAAGAAGTCGTTCTCCTGGGATTAGCTCCACACCTTCAAAGTCTTCTCCTGTAAATGCAATCTTCATGAATTTGTCAACAGTGAAATTGAAGTTAGCATCCTTGTCTCACGGGCATCCTTATCTCACACCGCCGGAGATATTTAAGGGTGGCGACAGCTTGCCGTAAGCCCTCACTCTGCCCGTGCTACGCGCAGATAATGCTTGGATAAGATTTACATATTTCTTAGGCACATCGTTCCCTAGTAGACAATTCCAAAGGGCACATCGATCAACCGAATCAAAGGCACCTATGATATCGAGGAAAGCGACTACGGCGGGCCGTCAAAATGTGTGACGGTGCTCCAACAACTGA